ATTTTTATCACTAATTTAGGTATGATTGATGGTATAAAATGAGGTGTTAATGATCACCAATAAGCTCCCCCACATCAAACCTTTGCTCGTCTCGAGTAAAGGATTCAAACAAGAAAGGGGTCTGAGCCAAGACTTGGGTGGATTTGATACACAACTTTCTCAGGATATGATGCGAGCATAAAAGATATTCCAAGTCATACTCATACCTGTGGGTTTTGAAGTGGCTACAACATCACCGTATGGTTCTGATTGGTTTGCGACCAAAATTTGCCATGCCATGGATTTGGCAAGTTGGCAAGGCAAACGTGAGAGGTTGGCAAGTTTTGGTGCAAACCAAACAATAGCCAAAGTCATGGCTTGCCAAATCCTTGGCATGGAAGATTATGGCTACAAACCAATCAGGCCCATAGATCCCTTCTCCTTCACAAGTAAGATTGGAGTTTTTGATAATGTTTTTTTCAAAACAAGTCATAGCTCATGTTACTCCTCGTATGGTTCTTTTAGATCACTGAGTGGTTTTTGTATATATATCCTCACTAGGATCTTTTCTTTGCCTCAAGATCCTACAACTATAGCTTACATGGAGTTTTGGGTAGAAGAACTTAAAAGACATACTTAGATTATTTATATTGTAAAGTCAACGCATGAATCCATGGAGGAAAACAGCATACAAACTATACTCAAGAGTGCAAGTGTCTGGATATGAGTGGAAGCTTCACTCTTTGGAAAAAAATCTTTTTTACCTCCCTGAACTATTGGGCGGGTTTGCTTTTCCTCCCTCAGCTCTAAAACCGGGCATTTAGACTCCCTAAACTGTTAAAACCGGACACGAAACCTCCCTGTACACGAAACCACCGTGGTTTTGCCCGTGACCGCATCTGACGTTTGTCATTTGAGTTTTCTCCTTCCTCGCTTCATTCCTGTGTCGGGCAGCAGCGGTCGGTGAGCGGAGATGAGCGTGGCAAAGCCGAAGGCAGCGCTGCATGGCGGAGCCGAAGTGGAGCCACGAGCACCGAGATCGAGCTCGAGCTCGTCGCTTGTCGGGTGAGTGAGATTTGGTATTTCGTACTCTTATGGATTCTGATTTTTGCTAAAGTAATTTGGTCGAAGGCAAGATAAAATCCAAAGTGTTTGCAGATAGCTAAAGGACATTAAGTCTGGTACATCAAATAAAGCATAATGACACATAGTCTAGTACTCAAATAAAAATCATAGCTTGGCCGAGTCCCAAGGTGGAAGGAGAAGCATTGGCACATTGCGTTTCTTTCTTTGTTCTTGAGCATGGTGTTTCTTTCTTTGGTTCTGAGCGGATGCTTGAGCAAGAGCTCTAGTCTCCACCTTTGCCTTCGCTCTAGTGTGAACCAGACCTAGAGAACTTCTGTGAGGCTACAAAGATAGAAAATGTGCACATGTGAACATATTGACAATTGGTGTGTAAACTTATCAAACATTACTAGCAAGTGTATTACATGTTGCCTAATTGTAGTTGTTCCATCTAAACTTTTGGATCTGTGAGTTAAGGCTGTGTAACTCTTTCTTTTCCTTGCATTACTATCTTGCTGGGTAGATGGCACACGCACTGAGACATTTGTATTTTGAGATGCATGAGGGACAGCAGGTTGATTAGAATGAGCAGGACCTGATTGAGTAGACTGTGCACCACCTGATTGAGCAGACTGTGCACCACCTGATTGAGCAGAGTCAGTCCTCCTTCCCAAGTGGAAGCATTGTGTCTAGTGCCTTTACATTTTCCGCACCTAATCACAGTGCCTACCCTAGACATTTTTGTTGCTTTGGGCTTCTCAGTTGGTTCTCTTGTCCTCTCTTTCTTAGGTCGCCCAGGCATTTTAATATAACCTAGTGCCCTCAACTTTGGCCTGTCAGATATGGGCCAACCTTCAATGCCTTCCAGAGGTTCAAGACAATGAGCATAAGTATTTTTGAAGTGTTCTACTCTGAAACAATCTGCAATATAGTCATCCAAAACATTAGTTTTCCAGTAATGCTGGATATTGCATGACAACATGGTAAACCAGCTAGCTGCCAATACCTACAAGAGCATGTCTTTTGTTGTAAGTCAACTGTGAACGTATTGTCAAAATGTTTCACTTCAAACTTGTCTGCTCCATTACTAATAGCATGACAGTAGCCAGCCATTGTAATGCAAGTGTTTAGCTTTCTCATGATATGTGGGCATATGGCACCCATCCACCTATCTGCTTTGGTCTCTTGCTCTTGAATCCTAATCATGACCTTCCTTCTGATTGCCTCAAGCATAGTAATGATTGGAAAAAATCTAGCTTCTACTATCCACTTATTAAATGACTCACACATATTATTATCAACTGAATCACAGTTGCTTCCTAACCTGAACCAGGCCCTGCTCCAGTGTTGTGGGTGTGTTTTCATGATTGCCTGAGCTCCTTCTCTAGTGTCTTCTGCTAGCCTGGCTCTTGCATGGTTGAAAAGCATAATGCAGGGAGCCTTGGCACATGCCTAGAATTTTTTTTGCCATTCTTTGTCACTGAACTCTTTTTTCCAATTGGCATAAATATGTCTTGCACAGTTCCTATGCACCGCCTCTGGTGCCCATTTCTCAACAGCATTGAGAATACCTTTTTGCTGGTGTGAAATGAATACCCAGTCCCTTCTATCACCAACCTGAATGTATCTGCACAGCAAGTCACAGAACCAGTCCCAATTGACATTATTTTTCTTGTCTACCACAGCCTAGGCAATGGGATACATCTGATTATTTGCATCTCTTCCAATAGCACAAAGAAGTTCCCCACTCAGTGCTCCTTTAAAAAAACAACCATCTAATCCAACAACTTTCCTACACCCTACCATGAATCCCTCCTTGCAAGCATTAAGGCATATGTACATCCTTCTAAAAATTGGTGGCTCCACATCATTCTCCTTATTAATTATAACCGTGCTCCCAGGATTGCTCCTTAATAATTCCAGTTGATAGTCATAAAGCCTTTCATATTGTCCCTTTGTCGCAGCAAAGGCCTTCTGAATCACCATAGCTTTTGCTTTCTTCACCTTGGATATGCTTACATCTCAAACATTTCTTCTTGGATAGTACTCTTCATCCTCGTGATATTCCATGTTGGGTTTGCCATGATAAACTTCTCGTACTTCTCAGCTATCCTCCTGGCAGTGACATGCTTGTTGTCCATTCTAGGAGGACAAGTATGCTGATCAATGAATGTAGCAATCTGCCAGCTATCTGTTCTTGAATTCTTAGAACACAAACAAACCCAAGGACAATGCTGCCAGTCACATTTAGCCCCTACCCTTGTTGGTTCATCTTTTATGAACCTTATTACCTTTCTGTTAGCTAGACAATATTTTATGATAACTTCCTTGAACTTCTTCTTGCCACTGAACTTCATCCCTATTTCAAATATAGGAACTGAAAACTGTGCATTGAACCTCCTATAATGACTTGGCTTCCTTCTCAGTTCCCCATCAGTACCAACCTCTTCAACTGACTCTTCATCATCACTTTCCTCATATGCTATTCCATCTTCTTCCCCTTCAATGGCTAAATATTCTGTTAGCTGTGATCTGTTCTCTGCAAGAATGATATCATCTAGTGTAGCATGTTCTCCTTTCTTCAACTTCTTCAATTCTTTGAATTTCTTTAGAATCTCAGCGGCTTCTTCATCATCTCTAGATGGGCATGTATCTCCTATGAAATCACTATCATAGCCTAAGCTTGAATCTTCTTCCTGAATTGCTTTGCCTTTCTTCTTGTATGTACCCTTCCCCTCATCGTCAGACACTAAAATAATAGATGGCTCTTCAACATATATATTTGCAACTCCGCTGTCCATAATGGAGTCAAACATGAACTGGCAAACTTTGTCATCCACCAGTACACGCAAACCATCATGTAGCTCTTTACCAGGAAATAACCAATGCAATAAAACTCCATCATGTACATTGTAATGATCACGTAAGCGTCCCACAACCTCTGGCAGAGAAATCTTGTCTCGATCAATATAAGACATTGCAGCCTTCCCCCGAAAATAATGCAGTATCTTGCCATCTTTGAAAAACTCTCCACCAAAACGGAACCTCACAGCCAGTGAGTCCGACACATCCATGGCCTACATACATTAAAGAAATAATACGCCTTCATTAATCCCACTGAAGGGCAGGCCTGGTGTAGCGGTGAGAGATGTCTCACTGAGTCACCAGATCATGGGTTCGAAGCAGTCTCTCCGTATATTTTACGGGGGAAAGGCTTGCCTCGGTTTTTCCCTTCCCCAGACCCCACTCATGTGGGAGCCTCCGGCACTGGGTCTGCCCCTTCATTAATCCACTAATGTAGATGCAAGTAAAGAGCACCCAAAAAAACTGGTAGCTCTCGTCTCCTATGCCTAATAAACAATGGATCTCCAAAAAGCAAGTCCCAGGGAATCCAGATCAAAGAAAAAAACAATTATTCTATGCCTAATTGACTCATTAGGAGTGCGATTCCACAAACCTGGTGCGCTTTGTGGCAGCAAAGGCCTTCTGAATCCTCCGGACACCCACCAGATCCGCCATCTTCGCAATCGCGACACGTGCGCACCACCCACCAGTTGCCCGCCTCCGAGGGAAAAGAAAAAGAATCCCAGCTAGGGTTACAGGTGGTCACGGGCACATTTTGACCGCCCTCAATGGCCTGACAAGCGGTACAGGGAGGTTTCGTGTCCGATTTTAACAGTTCAGGGAGTCTAAATGCCCGGTTTTAGAGTTGAGGGAGGAAAAACGAACCCGCCCAATAGTTCAGAGGTAAAAAGGACTTTTTCCTCACTCTTTACACTGCCATTTAATGGGCCCAATCTTTTATGGGCCGGCCTTCCTCTGATACTGATCGCCTGGCCCATGCGTTCCACCACCAAACCCTAACCAAGGATCCGACTCGGCGCTAGACTAATCGGACGGAAGGAAGACGAGAAGGGCCCGAGGCAGGAGGCGAGCGGCCGATCGGGGGAACGAAGATGAAGGTCCGCGCGTCGGTGAAGCGCCTGTGCGGGTTCTGCAAGGTGGTGAAGCGCCGGGGCATCGTCTTCATCCACTGCACCGCCAACCCCAAGCACAAGCAGCGCCAGGGCTTCTCCACCATCGCCGAAGCCGCCGCCTCGTGCGTCCACCTGCCGCCGCCACCGTCCGCCTCCGCCGCAGCGTTCGCGGAGTAAGATGAGCCTCCACTCTCCTGCCCGGATTGTCCTTATTCATTGTTTACTTGTTAACGAGCAAGCAGTTCCGGAGTCACTAATGCGCCACGGATTACTGGCCGAATTAGGGTTCTGATTAGAGTAAGGTCAGATTTGCGCTGGATCTTTGCTCCTAGCTACGCATACAAGCTAGTAGTTATGCTAGATATCAAGATGACCAAGATTAAAACATTTGTTTTTGAAGTAATCGGTCATCTGAATCATGTACCTTGCAATCTAGGATCCTTAAATGCCCTCCAGAAGTCTGCTGTTTGTCATTTGAACTTGCATTAATAAGATTTAATCTCTTTTTCAAAGACATCAATTAAAAGGAACCTGACTAGAAGTTTGCGTTTGAAGACAATCTAGCTATATATTTATTAAAGAGGTGACCACTGTATTCTATTTGATCTTCTGGGGTTCTATGAGAAGTCAACTTATGTTACCACGATTGGCGAGGCTATGGGCACTGCTGATACAGGTTTCCTCATCTTGTCAATTCTGTTAATTTTTTGTCAGCTGTTTCAGCGCATATTTGAGCTATAGGAGGCATTCTGAATTTCTGATATCTCATTTGCCTCCTTAGTCCTTACTGATTTCACTGAGCTACAGCCATTTTGGCATGGGGTGGGGCATCAGTTTTTTCTGTGCATTTTGCATGACTGTATAATTTCGTGTTGGAAAAAGAATTACTTGGATATATACCTACTTTCTTGGATAATCAATTCCATATTATGCTTGTTCTTTGTAGCTACGAGGATCTTGACTATGTACATGCCCTTAAGTGCCTTAAGCTCCGAACTGTTCTAAGTTTAGTATGTGATATGATGATCTCCATTTTCAGATAAAGTATTTAGAATGTAAGTAGTGATACTTTTGTCAAGATGACATTATAGCTTGGGACACATTTCTGTTTGAAGAATACAATAACATATTGCCAAATTTGACATTGACTGCTCTGATCTATGTTTTTCAGGGCTTCGAAGGTGGCGAGGCAAGAGATGTCTATGAAGTTCAATTGGCCGCTAGGTTTAGCTGCCTTGCTCAAGAATGGAGAAAAATAATGCATCAGGTCTACCATACGCTGACATTTTTAAGCAGATGTTGAATAGAGCCAGTTGGTATCATGATATCAAGAGAAGCATGTAGCAAAAACTTGAAACTGTACCATCATCATGTATTTGCAGTTACTACCCATCAGTTGAAGTCATGCTACGGTGGAATAATATCAGCACATATTGTTTCTCTTAAAATGTTTGATTCTTGAATGTTTAAATGTAATAGCACTTGCAGAAAGCTGCTATGCTTAACTCTGTTATTCGTCTTGCTGGGTGGCCCTTTTATCTTATTTGGTGGCACCGAAATCTGCTGCGATTGCATGACATGCTGTGGCTTTTCAAGGAAGAGATATTGCTGGACTCACAAGGCAGGGTTTAGCGTTTGTGAAATTGCTGGAACCAAAGGAATGCGCTCGTTTTTTTTACAGTATGCAATTAACTTAAGAATTACAATATGCAATTAACTAAAGAATTAAAAAGGTGTAGGACTGTAGTCAAAAGGAGACGCCACCTTTAGAATTCAGGATGATACTAGTGGCCTAAGATGTAAAAATTGTACAATTTTGCTGTGGTATATCATCTCTAATAATTGCAAACTCAGCAAATTCAAATTCTAAAACGACTGCGTTCCATCATGTCCTGCACTGTAGATATAAAAAGGATGAGCCGATCACGATCAGGACACCAGGACGAAGCTAGAACGAGAATTGGAAGGGAGAGAGATGCAGCGGGGCACGCTGGCCACGGCGAGGTGGAGGTTGACGTCCATGGCGAGCCGCCGCGGCGGGAATCCGGCCCGTGGCCGATCCCGGAGAGGAGAGGCGCTGCAAGCGAGTCAAGGAGGTGCGCGAGTGCGAGGCAAAGCTGCGAGCCAGAGGAATTGGGCCGAGATGGATTGGTGGCGGCGAATTTCTGCCGGGGTCATGAATTTAGCATGCACCAATAATTAGTTATGAAAATAACAAGAATCAACACTTTTAATTCATTTATGAAAAAGAATAAACCGACGAAAACCTTTTCTCACTCACCCACTCCCTACCCCCTACCCGTCGCTGACAAGCGGGACCAGGTCAACTGTGCAGGGCTGACCGTGTTGACCACGGCTCCCAACCGTTTGACCGGCGATTCCTCGTCGCTGGTGAGGCTTCCGGCGACGGCGAGGGCACCTACATGCTCGGGGCAACCTCGCGCATCATCCTATGGTGACGGTTTAACGAGTGAAGCTTCGCGGCGAGGTCGACGCTACAGAGATGATGAGTTAAGTTTAGCACCAGTTCATATACTGCAAGTCTTAGGTTCCCCTCTATAGTTGGACAGTCATCGCTTCTCCAGGACTAGGGGCGTGTGAGATGTTAGGAAGGCCATAGCACAATCTTACAGTATTACAAAATTACGGATATATAATCGATTGCCATAGCACAATCTTAGAGTATTACAAAATTACAGATATATAACGGTGAATGTAAACTCCACATCACACATGACGCAAACTGTTACGAAATCGATAAGTGAAGCCTGATAGTGATCCATAATCACCACAGCAAAAGCTAATAAGCAGGATCGAATGGTCTGACCAATACATCAATTATAATACACCCTACAATCTACTTCGCTGACTAAAGCGCGACGCCATGACCCCCATCAACACAATCATCATTTTTGCACTGGAATGATGAAATCCACAAATTCTGACTAACCCTCAACTGATGAAATCCACAGAAGTTGATTAAGTGCACAGAAACACACTTTGACCTTGCAAAGGCATCTGAACATTTTCCAGTCACTCATCCTGAAATGTATGTTTAAAAGAACATAGTTTTGATATGGAAAACATATCTATCAACATCCCATAAGGCATACACAAACATTCAATTGAACAACAATATAATGAACTAACATGGGAATATCAGTCCAATCCCATACTAATAAGCACAAATGCTCAACATCACAAAGGAGTTTGAGAAAACATCACAAAGTAGAACCCAAGTAGGAGGCTCTGAAAATTCATTTTAATTTTGCATATAGTGGACCAACAACATTCTACTTGAACTTTTAGTGTATGGTAACACATACCAGCTACCAAAAAAAAAAAAACCTAACCAAACACTGATCCCAAATTTAACAGCCTAACCACGCTACTCCCAGTCTCACTACAGAATACAGATCACCAATTCAAACATAGCCACAGGTGTATACTAACTCATTCATCTTGTTTTTAGTAGAAGCTAAACATTCCGTGGCGATTAGAAAAGCACAAAAGGAACAGGCATTTGAGCACATTAACAGTTCATGATAAGCACATATCTATTCAATTCACCGAATAACAACACAGAGTAATTAGCAACACTGGATGAAACACAGCACAGCGCTACCAATTTGTTCCCTCTGATTACTCTTCACCATACAAGAGGCTGCAGAAGCAATACCCCTGGCCGCTCAGTCGCTGGAGCCAGGGCCGGGCGTCTTGGACCCTACTCCGTACTTCTCCTGGAGCCTGGTGATTTCGTCCTCCTTCTTCTTGAAATCCGACTTCTTGGACATCTTGGCGGGCTGGTAGTAGAGCACGATGAGGTAGCGGTTGGCGACGTTGAAGCCGGAGAGGTGGTCGACGGCGTTCTTGGCGTCGTAGATGTCCTCGTACACGACGTAGGCGGTGCCGCGCGTGTCCTTGGCGTTGCCCAGCCGGATCTGCCGGATCGCGCCGTACTTGCCGAAGATGTCGTACATCTCCTCGCTCGAGATGTTGAACGGCAGGTTCCGCACGTACAGCACCCGGTTCACCTCCGGAGGGAGGCGCGCGTTCCCCTTCCGCAGGCCCGCCGCCGCCATCGCCGCCGCGCCGAAGCTCGCCTAGGGTTTGGGGATTGGGGATTGGGGATTGGGGATTTGGGGGTGCTTTGCTTGCTGCGTGTAGCCGCCTCTTTCTCTCGCGTCTTCGTTTGCCTTATTGGAGAGGTGGAGCCGGCGCACGGGGTCGATTCGTTGCCGACTCTGGGAGAGTTCCCATCGACATGTGGCCAAATGTGGCCCTCCAATTTCAAGCGGGGCCCATATGTCGGCGTCAAGTCTCGAAGCATCGTTGGCGAACCTTTGGCGCATAAACGCGAGCTGAGCCGGCCTCGAGCCTCGGCTGCGACTCCCCGGCGACCCCCTCCCCGAAGCTGCTTCTACCGGCCGCCGGCTGGGCCTCGGACCTTCGAGAAGCTTCCGGCGCTAGTCTATCGAGCACCGCAATGGCGTCCGGCGGAGCGGCCATCTCGGCGGGGCCGACGCCACCGTCGGCGACGGCGTCGGCGGTGGAGTGGCACCAGCGGCCGCCGAACCCGAAGAACCCCGTGGTGTTCTTCGACGTGACCATCGGGTCCATCCCCGCCGGCCGCATCAAGATGGAGCTCTTCGCCGACATCGCCCCCAAGACCGCGGAGAACTTCCGGTGATGGCCTAAACCCTCCACTAGCCATAAACCCTAGGTTCCATTGGTTTCATTCTTCTGCCGCTGATGTGTTTGACACTGGGATAGATCTCTAATCGTGTTGCTTTGTTGGTTTCAGGCAGTTCTGCACTGGGGAGCATAGGTAAGAGACTTCCAGAGATTGGTTATCTCCTTGCTGTGGGCATGTTCTGAGGTTAATTGTGCTAATCTGGCTCCATCCTGATGTGAAACCATTTATCCTACTTCGATAAGTTTGCTTTAGAGTTGCTATTTTACTGATGCCTATAGTGGTTAGCATGGTCATTTGCTTGGGAGACTAGCTGGTGTGAAAAAAGGAAAGAACAATATTAAACTATATGCATTCTTAAGAGCAGGGTTTATCTTCGTTCAAAAAGGAAAGATAGAATGAATCAAGGAAGAGCAATTTTTTTCTGTACTTCTGTTGATTGTTATGGTTGGTGAGAACTTGAGCTTATAGGGGATGCTTTCTGTAACTTACAGACCTACTAGTTGATGTAAAGAGTATTCTTGTGTTGTTTGGTATAATAATAAGTTGCTCCTTGCTTCGTCTCCATGTTTAATTTTACTTGAACTGATGTTGGGTCTATGCAAGGATATGAATTTGGGTCTTTAGGATAATGTGCATAATTGTGGCATGACAACATAGCACTGCTACTTGGAAGGGTGTTTTTCCTATGGGTACAATGTATTGCATTTCGAACCTGTAGGTGGGCGGTGGGTCATGTGAATGACCATGACACAGGAGTGTGAATTAGTCTAGGAGGAAGTTGGATTCTTTCTGATTTTATTAGCTGCTGGTGGTTGTTATTGATTAACGACTTGATGAGGATTTGAGGAAAAAGTTGCTCCAGCAATTATGAAATTACTTTGCAGACAGCAGTCTGATATACAATTTCTGATGCTCAGTTTTGATGTTGATTGCAGAAAAAATGCTTTGCCACAGGGTTATAAGGGCTGTCAATTCCATAGAGTGATCAAAGATTTCATGATTCAGGGTGGTGACTTCTTGAAGGTTTGTCTGCCAAGCTTCAACCATCAATTTTATTACTTAGCATAGATTTTAACCCAGTGCTATCCTAGAACTAAACTTGTGTATATGTGTATGTATGTATGTATACTTATTTGTAATAGGCAACAAAAATCGAGGGGCAGTCTGATATATTGTTTTACTCTTTGTACCCTTCTGGTGATTTTGTTTCTGGAGTGATTAACTACTTTTAGTAATCTCCAAGCAGAAATTGGAACTATTTCATAAGTTCATATTATATTCAGTACATAAACTAAACCCCCTGTTTTGTGTCCTGCAGAATGATGGTACTGGATGCACATCGATCTATGGTACCAAATTTGATGATGAAAATTTTATTGCAAAGCATACAGGGCCTGGACTGCTCTCAATGGTACTCTTTCTTTCCACCTCGATGTTTTTTCAATTCAAATGTTGTCAGAAGATACTTCTTTTATAATTTCTCTTTGTTTGCACTGGATCTATTGCCTGGACCCAGTGTAGTTAGATTTGTATTTCTGGCATTCTATAGTTGCACATATAACTTTTATACACTTCTTTGGAATGGGGATCATCATATGAGCATAACAAATTACTAGGCCCCCTGCCTCTTTACCATGTATGTGCTTAATTTATAGGATCTTGCACAAATGCGCTATATGTTGCCCTAAGATATTCTGTAATTTGTCCATCGTATCAGCCAATTTCGATGTTTCTTGTTTTATCTATATTCTTTCTTCATGTTCTTCAAAGCATTTAACTGGTTAATATCACTTCGTTTCTTCTTCAAAGCATGTTTGATGCTCCAACAATACGTTAGCTTCTGTCTTATGATATCAACATCTGGTATTTGTCCCCCCTTTCTTGTAGGCAAACAGTGGAATGAACTCTAATGGATCTCAGGTACATTTGCCTTCTCTAAAATTGCACATAGCCTTAATGCCTGAGTCAGATTTATTCCGCATTAAGTTTGAAGTAATATTATTTATTACTGCACTACTGTAAGTAAAACTCAGTTGGGCAATGCCTTTTCCTTCAGGTCATGTTTATAAGAACAAAAAACAGACTAGATATTTTCTTGTACACCCTGTTAGAGACTTGAGTACCTGATGAAAACCTTACTTTCTTGTGTTTGCAGTTCTTTATAACATGTGCAAAGTGTGACTGGCTTGACAACAAACATGTGGTATTTGGGGTAAGCTTACTTGATTCAAATGCTTCCTTTTTTGTGACCATTCCTCAGGATATTGGTTTTATTGCAAGTATGTATATGTATACCTACAGTATTAGGGTTTAAAGGTTAACATGATACATTATAATTGGTTTAGTTTGTTGATAATAAGATTTGAGCAAGATAAATCAAATGTTAGGATTCAAATGTTCGTGATATAGAATTGTAGACTGCGGGGCAATATGGTATTGTAGCGGCCTTTGTGTTTTCCTTTTCCTTTTTCTTTTCAGCTATCACTATGTGAGTTTAATGCCCAGCATTGTCATGTTTATTCAATTCAGAGAGTGCTTGGAGACGGTTTGCTCGTCATGAGGAAGATTGAAAATGTTGCAACTGGAGCGAATAACAAACCAAAGCTTGCCTGCATTATAAGCGAGTGTGGTGAGATGTAGCTTGATCCCTGAATGCGGCTAATCGTGCACTCTTGGACGCTGCTGATGTAGACCATGTTTGGTTGATGAGAGTACTTAAGCTGTGGAAGCAATATAGAGCATGTAATGATGTACTGGCATATCAAAATTTACATTGAGGGAAGTGTATTGTGTCTCTGCAACCTGTAGAATAATACTCCCAAAAAAAACTAATGTTCTTGTTTGACTTGGGAGTTGGGTCTTTTGTTCTGCTGAACATGTTTGATCCTATTGTTCCTGGTTTAGTTATCAAGAAGTTTACTATGGTGTGCTTCAATGATTCAGGAAGCAAAGCAAGCATTTTTTGGATTCAGCTCAGTCGAGTAAAACTTGCTTGAATGATTTTGGCGTGCTTGCCATTTTATTTTCTGTTGATGTATTGCAACCTGCAAGAGGGCTTCCATGAACAAACAGGTCATCATTTACAAGTCGAGCCGTTGAGGAATCCACAGTTGTCGTATGTTCTATATGATTAGGCTTTGACAGAGCATTTTCCACGAGGATAACATATTCTGGGCACCCCAATGGAGGTGTTCACCAGAGGTTAACATTTCTAGTGGTTCTAGGACAAATAAAGTGATCCATGTAAATTAGAAAATATTGAGACTATTATTTACACAATACAAACTATCATCACTTGTGGTTTTTATTTCATCATACCTCACCTTTATTTTCCTCTCCCCTTCTTTCTTAGCATGACCAGCTTCTGCAAGCCATTATGACGAGGGTAGATCAGCTATTTTTTTTATCCACTGGACTATCGTAAAAAAGCAGCGTTGGCGAAGCCTGGAATGTCAAGACTGCCGTCAGCTAATCAGCTTGCACGGTTGCACCTGATGCGTTCTACCGATGTCACAGACAAATCGCAGCATTTTGCACTCGATACTCGTACGTGCGTGCCATTAACCATTCTGTCTGTCATCAGCTCCCTTTTTAAGGCCCCAAGGACTGCCTTGATCCCCGCACGTCGTCATTCCTTGTCCCCCTGTAGCATGCCAACCATGTCACGCACGACGCCGTCGAGCCTGTTGACGCGCGCCACGCCCCCGCTCTCCCCGACGGCCGGCGGCACTCCGAGTCGCCTGGCCGTCGCGCCGGCCTCCCCGTCCACCCCGCAGTGCGCCATCCCGGCGTCGCCCCACACGCCGGGCAGGGGCAGGGCGAGCGCTCCCACCCCGTCGCCGGCCACGCCGCGCACGCCGCGTCCGGAGATCACGCTCCGGCAGCCGACGTCGCAGAAGCGCGCGCCCGCCGCCGTCAGGAAGCCGTCGCGCGCGCTCCGCGCGATCCGCGCGCTGATCCGGTCGCTGCCCATCGTCGCGCCCGCGGCGTGCCGCCCGGCGTCCGCGCTCCCGCGCCGCTACACCAAGCCGCACGACGGGCACGGCGGCAGCTGCGGCGCGCGCGTCACCGGCACGTTCTACGGGCACCGCCGCGCGCGCATCACCCTCGCCGTCCAGGAGCGCCCCGGCAGCCTCCCGTCGCTCGTGCTCGTGATCGGCGTGCCCACGGGGAAGCTTATGCAGGAGCTCTCCGCCGGCGGGCACGTCCGCATCGCCCTCGAGTGCGAGAAGAAGTCCAAGAAGTCGACGCCGCCGGAAGGCGGCGGCAACGTGAGCCTGCTGGAGCAGGCGATGTGGACGGCGTACGTGAACGGGCGGCGCGTGGGGTACGCGGTGAGGCGGGAGGCCTCGGAGGGTGATCTCGCCGTGATGCAGCTCCTGAGTACGGTCTCGGTGGGCGCCGGCGTGCTACCCGGGGACGTGGTGGACGCGCCAACCGGGTCGGAGGCCGACGGCGAGGTGGCGTACATGCGCGCGGGGTTCGACAGGGTGGTCGGAAGCAAGGACTCGGAGTCGTTCTACATGATTAACCCGGAGGGGGGCGCCGGCGGTGGCACGGAGCTCAGCATATTTCTTGTCAGGGTGTAGACGTCTATGAGAAATTCGTTTCACTTTACGCTTACATGCCGTTTGAATGTAGATTTGGAATGGGAAAAGGAATGACATTGGATATGAGACGTTGGTTACTCATATGATCAAATTGCTGTTTTCCGTTTCTAACATATTTGAGTATGGAATATATCTTTGAATGAAGTGGCAAATGCATGCAATTGACTATATATGCCCATTTCTTGTTTGCAAGATTGCCTTTTATATAGGGGTGTGTCTCTAACGGTTTGCATTTCCGTCGATCATCTTCAACGCCCACCCCTCCGTCTTCCACGAAGCTCCGGCCATGGAGTCCTCTTTGTCCTCACGCCCCACCTCCGCCTTCCTCACCGGCGGCCGCGCCCTCCTCCTCCTCGTCCTCACCCCCCCCACCCGCCACCGCAGAGCTCTGGCGAAACCCTAGCGCGCTCACGGCGATCGCCTTCTTCCCATCCCTCCTTCTTCCGCGGTGAGCTCCGGCCATGGAGCACCCCCACCCGACCGCCTCCATTGCTGCCAGGGCCCTAAATCACCCTGTTGTCGTCCCCACCGCTCAGTCGGGCCTCCTCCCTCAAACCCCTTCTATGCCCGCCAGAGATGGAGAAGAAGAGAGGAAGAGTTGGAGAGAGAGGGCGCTAAACTTACCCGACACTAGCGAGGTCCATGCCGGAACCCTAGCCACGGGCGTGTGGGCATGGGTGACTGACGCGGAGCCAAAGTATTGGACGAGAGCGCGAGGAAAGGCAAGTGAAGCCATTAAGGGAACCAAACACAACACTATTGTTTGACAACTAATACTAGAATTAAGATAGCTAGCGTGTTCTTTAAAAAGGGGATATGCTGGTATATTAACAGAAAGAGCAATACAACATCACCTTATAAAATGGTGTTGAAAACATCATTGTCAAGCAAGACCAAATGTCCACATCACATGAAAATATAGAAGTGTCGAGTATCGATATTAGGGATACCCAAAGCAAGGAAGTAGCGCCCACGCTGACTTCCCCGGATGGCTCGAGACGTATTAAAAGGTCTTGCCCGACTCCAAGGCCATGGGCTCCGTCTCGCTCGACCCCTTGGGTGCGGGCTCCATCTCTCCCGACCCCTTGGGTGCAGGCTCCGTCTCGCCCGAACCCAAGGACGCGGATTCTGTCTCGCCTAAGGCCGTGATCTCCGTCTCACCCAACCCCTTGGGTGCGGGCTCCGTCTCGCCCAACCCCAAGGATGCGGGTTCCGTCTCACCCAAGGTCACGGACTTTGTCTCACCCGACCTCAAGGATGCGGGTTCTGTCTCGTCCGACGGGGACCCAAACCGCCGCCAACCATTCCAGGTCCAAGCGTATGGGCCTAGGTCAAAACTCTAACGCCAGGGAAGAGGCTGACATTCCTCGATGTAACCCGTGGCCACGACAGGCCATATCTGGGGATTCACATAAAAAACAGTACGGACGCTGACAGGCTCGTCAGTTCACCACAACGTCCGCGGGGACGGAGTGGAACGTCATGACCGGTAGATGACGCCCGCGCATAGCCAGTGACGAATAGGGCCGCAACATGGAGCCGTCCCTTTTGACATCTACAGGATCGGTGGGACCCTCATGAAGGAGAAGAATGACCCGGCAACCCTGGAAGCCTTCTCTCTCTCATTCTTCTCCCTTTCCTCTTCTGTAACCCGCGCTTTCCCTTCGTCTATAAAAGGGGAAGCAGGGCGCCCCATGAAAGGAGAGATCTGGACATAAGAGCACGACATGAGCATATGGCTGAGCGACAAGCGAGTTCCCAGCACCCGTTCACTCCTTCCACCAGAGACTTGGGATCCTCTCCCTCTCTCGCATGTTTGTAACCCCTACTGCAAACCAAGTATCGGTAACACGAGCAGCAGCGAACTGGACGTAGGGACGTTCCGCCCGAACTAGTATAAATCCTTGTGTCCTCTGAGCACACCATCCAAGCCAAATGCGCAAATACAAATTTACTCGTTGGTTGTCCGAAAACACCAACAGTTGGCGCGCTAAGTAAGGGCTTTTTGCGCGTCTCGATGTCCACATCAGGCCTCGGATGGCTAGTCACGGTGTCAGCTGGGCCCCGGGCGCGCACGTGCGCTTTGGGAACCTTGACTTCATCGTTACGACGGAGGGAGAGTTGGCGCAGGTTCCCGCCGCCGTCCAGCCTCTCCACTCCGCCGGCCTCAACGCGATCGCCGAGATGCTTGAGGAGTTATAGCTGCATGCACTGGAGGCCCACGCCCCGGGAGCGACCAGCTCCTCGGCTTCACTTACGGGAGGCTAGAGTGCCAGCTCGGCGCCTTCCTGGGACCCCGATCGTCCCGGGAGGACCTACGCCGACTCACCTTCTCATTCGCCAATGTCATTACGTAGCTTGTCGGAGAAGAGCCGCTCTCCCCGAAATACCTCATCCAAAGCGCCTCGACAGCGCCCTCGTTCAGTCCGCGCAACGTCGCAGAGACCGTTGGCCACCTTGTGGCGCAGCACATGCCCCCATCCCCTACGAACGACGAGTTCATGGGGATGACCGAATACGTCGTGGAATCTTTCTACGACCTTTGCACGGGAGAATCAGAGTCGCCCTCTGACTCTGACTCTAGTAGGGGGAGCCATCACCCCTCACGAGAATATTTCATGGCAGGTACCCCCGAGGGATACATCGAAAGCATCCACGAGGGAGGGGCTACCCCAATAGACGACCTCGATGACAAGGTCGAGGGGGATGCAAGGGCCCCACTTCGCCTGCGGGTAGAGCAGCTGAGGGCGCTGCACCAAGAGCTCGAAGAAGCATGACTCTAGCTCGAGCAGGAATGAGAGAGATCGAGCGCCACAGAGACAGTGGGTGTGCGCGTGCCATGGCCTGCGACAAGAATCGGAGGATCATCGAGGACGACAAAGGCCTCCCATACTTCACCCGGGCAAGCCAGAACATCGCTGCCATGGCAACTTGCTCCGGGCTTCTGGAGCCCGCGACACCCAAGGATCGTCTAGCCCATCGTGAGATTCACACGCTACTCGAGCATACAGCGACGCAACAGGGCGAGAGCTCGCTGTCTCGACAACACGAGCTCGACGCCAGCCAGCGCGCGCCCTCAGAGCGACCCGACAAGGACGTGTCAGTCCACCAGGCACAGCGAGGTGGTAGGCCGCGCGCCGTGGCCCAGTGCATGAGCGTCTCGGCCTCCATCGTGACGCGTACAACACCCTAGATGCCCGCAGGCGTGCCCGCAGCGATGAGAGGGAGGAGGCTACGATAGTGGTGAGGACTGAAGTCCGAGCCATGACTTGCCAAGACCTTAGGCCTTTGGTCGACACATCCTCAACACCGTCTTCCCACCGCGCTACTGACCGCCGACCAACATCCCAAAATACTCCGGGAAAACAAACCCGGACTATGGCTCGAGGATTATCAGTTTGTTTGCCAAGCTGGTGGAGCGAATAGTGACAATTTTATTATCCGCAACCTTCTATTGTTCTGGCTGATTCGACGCGAACGTGGTTGGAACACCTTCCGTCCAACTGAATCCAAAGTTGGGTGAACCTAAAAGAGATATTCGTGGGAAACTTCTAGGGCACATACGCGCGTCCTGGGAACCCATGGGATCTCAAAAACTGCCGATAGAAGTCTAGGAAAACTCTTTGTGGGTACATCCGACGCTTCTCTCGGCAGTGCAACGAGCTACCCAACGTCGCCGACGCCGATGTCATAGGAGCTTTCTTGTCTGGGACCACCTACGAGTCTCTGGTTCACAAGCTAGGACATAAGGGCCCGTGAACAACCAAGGAGCTCCTCGGCATCGCCACCAGCCACGTCTCGGGCGAGGAGGTGGTCGGGGCAATTTTCAACCGCCCTAAGGGCAAGGCAAAGCGGGACGAGGACGCCGACGAAGGCGCCTCCAACCGCCCCAACAAGAAGAAGAACAAGCAGTGGCGCGAGGGCTCACTCGTGGCCACTACCTACCATAAGGGGGGTCGGAAGCCGACCGAGGGTACCCCGGACCACTTCGAGAAGCTTCTCGAAGGGCCATGCCCGAACCATGCTTTCCCCATCAAGCTCCTATACAAGGACTGCGTCCTCATGAAGCGGTTCTTGTCCAAAGGCTCCAACAAGGGGAGGCATAGGAAGGAGCCCAAGTCGACCGTAGACGACGCCGAGAGGAAGGATGGTGGATTTTCGACGCTGGATGGCTGCCTCATGATCTTCGGAGGGTCGGTGGCCTATGACTCCAAGCACCGCTAGAAGCTTGCACGCCATGAGGTCTATACGGCTGAGCCACCCGCACCTTCCTTCCTCCGATGGTCGGAGTTCACCATAACCTTTGATTGGACCAACCACCCGAAAAGCGTCCCACAGCCGGGAAGATACCCGCTTGTGGTTGACCTAATCATCAGCACGAAGTGGCTCACTAAGGTGCTCATGGATGGAGGCAGTGGCCTCAACATCATGTACGCTAAAACGCTCGACGCCATGGGCATCGACCGATCATGCATCCGGCCGACCGGGGCGCCTTTCCACGGCATCGTGCCTAGAAAAGCAGGCCATGCCACTTGGGTAGATCAATCTACCCATCACCTTTGGGAATCCGATCGCTTCAAATGGATGCCCGAGGCCATGGAGGCACTTGACAAGGTGAAGCAGCTCCTGATGAAGGCCCCGATCCTAGTCCCCCCAACCGACGGGGAACCACTTCTGCTCTACATTGTGGCCACCACGCAAGTGGTAAGCACTGCCCTAGTGGTAGAGTGAGAAGAAGAGGAACACGCCCTCAAAGTGCAGCGTCCTGTATACTTCATTAGCGAGGTCTTGTCTGATTCCAAGACTCGCTACCCCTAAATCTAGAAACTCCTGTACGCCATCGTTATCGCCAAGAGGAAGTTGCATCACTACTTTGAGTCGCATCCTGTGACGGTCATGACATCCTTCCCTCTCGGTAAGGTCGTCCAAAACTAGGATGCCATAGGAAGAATCATGAAGTGGGCACTCGAGCTGATGGG